ACAAAAGCCTATGATCTATTCTTACTTGAAAACATTTGGTTATGCTGCATATACTCATCAAAACATAGGGAAACTTGAACCCAGATCCCTTAAATGTGTGTTTTTGGGTTATACTGAAAATGTTAAATGATATAGGCTTTGGGTTTATGGGGAAAAAGTTTATAGGGTTATTATAAGGAGGGATGTGATCTTTAATGAGTCATGTATGCCATGTTTGGAAGGGAAAGAGGGAAATTTGACTGAAAATGATGTCCAAATTGAGGTGGAGCCTATCAAAGTTGATAATACCAGTTCTATCCCCTTAGAAACATCAACTAATGAGGCTGACCAGAATGAAAACAACCCTGATTTGGCTGAACATGATCAGTATAATGATGATAATACACTTCTAGATGAATACCAGCTCACTAGAGACAGGGATAGGAGACAAATTAGACCACCAGCTAGGTTTAATAGTGATGACTTTGTGTCTTTGTTCATTTATCAAGATGAATCTGAAACTGAACCTAGTTCCTATCATGAAGCCTTAAAATCGAAAGATTCTAAGCGGTGATTAAGTGCTATGGAAGAAGAAATGTCTTCCCTATACAAAAATAAAACTTGGGAATTGGTTGATAGACGTAACGATAAAAAATTAGTTGATTGCAAGTGGATTTATAAGATAAAGGAAAGGGAAAGTGGTACTAACAAAGTTAGATACAAGGCTAGGCTTGTAGCCAAGGGTTTCACACAAAAGGAGGGTATGGATTATGATGAGATTTTTTCCCCCGTTGTTAAATATACAACTATAAGATGTATTTTTGCTTTGGTTGTGCAATTTAAGTGGAACCTTGATCAACTAGATGTAAAAATTGCATTTTTATATGGTAAATTGGATGAAGTGATCTACATGAAATAGCCTTTAGGATTTATTAAAGGAAATCCGGAAAAAAAAAAAAGTGGGTTTGTTGAAAAATTATTTGTATGGCCTAAAACAAGCTCCAAGACAATGGTATAAAAGATTCGATTCATTCGTCTTGAAGCTTGGGTTTAATAATAGCAATTATGATACATGTCTTTATTGCAAAGAAAATGGAGGTAAAGACTCTTTGTATCTTGTGCTTTATGTTGATAATATGCTTCTTGCTAGTGCCAATAAATCTGAAATTGTTGATATTAAACACAAATTAAAATCAGAATTTGATATGAAAGATCTTAGTTCCGCTAAGAAAATACTGGGCATGCATATTATAAGAGATGAAAAATTTGATTGCTTGTTTTTATGTCAAGAAGAGTATGTGAATAAGATCTTCAAGAAGTTTAATATGTTTGATTGTAAACTTGTGACTTTACCCCTTGCCAATCACTTTATCTTAACATCTGATTCGTGTCCAAAAGCTGAAGATGAACTTGAAAGAATGTCTAAAATATCTTATACGAATGCTATTGGTTCAATTATGTACTTAATTATTTGTACCAGACCTGATTTGGCTTTTAGTATTAGTGTTTTGAGTAGATTTATGGGGAATCCTGGTGAAACTCATTGGAAAGCCTTGAAGTGGTTGTTGAGATACTTAAAGGGTTCATCTAACTTGGGTTTGATGTTTAAATTGGACAAAAAGTGGGCAATTTTAAAAGGTTATACAGATTCTGATTTTGCTGGAAATAGAGACAATAAAAAATCAACTTCATCTTATTTTACACTTTGTATGGTACTGTGAAAAGTTGGAAATCTCAGTTACAAAAAATTGTTGCTCTATCTTCCATCGAGGCTAAATATATTGACAACATATAAACGTAATAATTTGGTTCCTTGGTCTACTTCTATACATTATCCACTATCTTCCTCTTCCTTTCTTTCCTCACGCTCATCGACGAGATCTGAATCCATTTCATAATTTTTGGATCTTTTTTCGTTTCCATATTTGTATAGCTGGCACACCAGGTGTGTCTGGCAGTATCGGGAATGAATGGTCGGTGATTTTCACGAATAAATCATAGTCCCGCCTACATACATATTGAATCGAATATTATGAAATCACATGACTATGTAGTTTTACACTTCCAATGATCAACACATGCTATGGTTAGATAATAGATAGTGGTATGTGGATCAAGTCAGCCATATTCAAATTCATTGAACAACACCAAATTACAAAATTCCAATGCCATCCTTGTTGTGATACATGTGTATGATAACGGAAGCAATTTGTGAAACTGCATATATTGACATCCAGTGAACAAGTAGTATTACTTGTCTAATGAAGTTTGTACGATAATTTACATTTCACTTTTAAATCAAATAGGGAACATAACTATATATTATCTTCTACTAAAAAAATAATCCTAGACAACAAACCTTGTGTTCACTACAAAGGGAAGTTAAATATGGCTCAATTTCAAATGTTAACAGACAACACTTAAACTACCATAATGAAACTAAGGCACGTTACAAACATCACATGAAATGTTAAAGGGTCAAAATCGAAGGTCAACACAAATAGGTAAAAAATTATTTAAAATGAGAAGAAGGGTAATTGTGTTTTTAAATTTATTATGCACATATAGGAAGTATGTCCTCAATATTTACAATCTGGACTATCAACCAAGACTCTCGTCTAAAATATGATTTCAACCTCATAATTATCTACAAATGCCTAATGAATCTGATTTCATGGACTTGCTCACATCAGTGTTCAACAGTTTAATAGTGTGCTCGAATGCTGGCTTAAAAAATTCCTCAATTGCAGGATCAATAGTTGTTGCTCACTATAAAAACAGCATAAAAGTAACTCAATAAATGTTTTTCACCTGCAATTTGAGATTTTTTTGACTTGTATTCATGTTGAAATAAGTTTTATGCTCAAAATGTAACAGAAGGCTTTCTTTATCTACAAAAATGTATTATCTTTCTGTGCCTTATGTCCATGAATGAAAC